CTAATCCCTGCCCACTCCCTGATCCCTGCCCACTCCCTGATCTCTCCCCACTCCCTGATCCCTGCCCACTCCCTGATCCCTGCCCACGCCCTGATCTCTGCCCACGCCCTGATCTCTGTCCACTCCCTGATCTCTGTCCACTCCCTGATCCCTGCCCACTCCCTGATCCCTGCCCACTCCCTGATCCCTGCCCACTCCCTGATCCCTGCCCACTCCCTGATCTCTGCCCACTCCCTGATCTCTACCCACTCCCTGATCTCTGCCCACGCCCTGATCTCTGCCCACTCCCTGATCTCTGCCCACTCCCTGATCTCTGCCCACTCCCTGATCCCTGCCCACTCCCTGATCTCTGCCCACTCCCTGATCTCTGCCCACTCCCTGATCTCTGCCCACTCCCTGATCCCTTCCCACTGTCTGATCCCTGCCCACGCCCTGATTCCTGCCCACTCTCTGATCCCTGCCCACTCCCTGATCTCTGCCCACTGCCTGATCCCTGCCCACTGCCTGATTCCTGCCCACTCCCTGATCTCTCCCCACTCCCTGATCCCTGCCCACTCCCTGATCCCTGCCCTCTCCCTGATCTCTGCCCACTGCCTGATCCCTGCCCACGCCCTGATCCCTGCCCACGCCCTGATTCCTGCCCACTGCCTGATCTCTGCCCACTCCCTGATCCCTGCCCACTCCCTGATCCCTGCCCACTGCCTGATCTCTGCCCACTCCCTGATCTCTGCCCACTGCCTGATCCCTGCCCACGCCCTGATTCCTGCCCACTGCCTGATCCCTGCCCACGCCCTGATTCCTGCCCACTGCCTGATCTCTGCCCACTCCCTGATCCCTGCCCACTCCCTGATCTCTGCCCACTCCCTGATCTCTGCCCACTCCCTGATCTCTGCCCACTCCCTGATCCCTGCCCACTGCCTGATCCCTACCCACGCCCTGATCCCTGCCCACGCCCTGATCCCTGCCCACGCCCTGATCCCTGCCCACGCCCTGATCCCTGTCCACTGCCTGATCCCTGCCCACTGCCTGACCCCTGCCCCCTGCTTTCTCCCTGACTCCCACCCACTCACTGATCCCTCACCCACACCCTGACCCCCCACCCACTCAGTGACTTGTATGCCTCTCAGGGAGTGGGTTACCCCCACCCACTCTTGTATACCTCAGGCACACAAGAAGGCTGAGAAGGAGATACGTGACATAATTGTCAGTAATTCGTACTGTCATTTATTGTAACAACCCTAGTACATCGAATTCCTTCATTGTGAGACATAGCATCACTGCCTCCTCTGACAAACTGAGGTGTGCTAATGTATGTATCATGACAAATGCAGCTCGAGAGTTTGCACTCCGAAATATATGCTACATTGGACATACCACAAATATACTGAGTAGACGTCTTACTCTTCATTTACAAGACAGAGGTATTAACCAACATCATTCTCAATACCGCAACACTATCCTGAATCGCCAAGACATAGTGAAAGATACGGCAGTACTCACACGCACCGACGACCGTAGGAGCCCTCGTATGCTGGAGGCTGCGTTCATTCAGGAGCTGACACCAGTAATCAACATCCAGATGAATTCAACTTCGAGCATACAACTGTTCGATGGTCCTCTATTGACCCAGAGGGAAGATGTAAGACCTGGCGGACTGCTAGAAGCCGGAGTCAGGCAACAATCACCTCACGCTACCCTTCGCCACTCTCTTATTATTATTAACATCTTTATTGACAAAATTAATTACTATTTTGCCTAATCTGAGGATTTCGATTAAGTCTTAAGCGAGGATAATGCTGGTATTCACTGTCACGCAGGACAGAGGGTCATACATAAGACAATAGGTCTAAACTGTAGGCGGACGTACATATATATCATGGTTACAATCAATGTTTTAATGTATGGATATGTGAAAACAGCTTTCTACTGTGCACTGCCACACAAGGGCAGGGATGGGTTCATAAGTGATGCAGCTTAGAAATAACATAAAAAAAATTTTCTTCATTCTTTAAAATGGACAAGCAAATTTTGGATAAATTTTTAGGATGTCGTCCAAAACACCTAAGTCAATAAAATAGTTACACAGTTGGTGGTACAAGAGACCAGGAAGTCTAAAGTCCTTTACGGTTGCACATTCAACAATATAGTGTTCTAGTGAATGCATTAAAGGTTTATCACAGAGTTTACAATCTGATTATTCTGGTAGTGGCTCAGCCTCACTAACCTGCCAGATGTGTCTATAGCCAAGGCGAATTCGCGCAATGCACATGCACAATCTGCTCTACCAGTGCCTAACTGCACAGAGCCATCAGTAAAGGCATAGGATTCAGTCGGTTTGAGAATTTGAAGATGACTGTCAATAGCTTCTAATGCTATACATCTCAAAATTTCAGTGTTATGCCTTTGTTTTACACTGATGGGGGTATAATGCAGAGAAACCTCCATATCTTTCCATGTTGGAATATAGTGAACAGTTTTATCAGGGTTAAGAGACACATTCAGTGTCAGAAGATTATAGGCACAACAACTGAGCCACACACTGTAAGGTGCTTTTTCCTCGGATTGAGGGAACAGTCAAAATTGTTTAGAATGCATCTCAATTTAATTTGAATAGAGCTGGGGGGACCATTATTTTTCAAAGTTTTGGCGCAAAACATAGTACTAAGTAGAACTATTCTTTCGTAAATGGAGGGTAAGTTTAGTTCCTGTCTCATGTTAACAATTCTGACAGTTCTAGGACAACCCAGGATGATGCGCATGGCATCATTCTGTACTACATCTAGGCCTTGTAATTGTTTAGGAGTAAAATTAAGACGATGCAAGGCATAAAAATCAACAACAGATCGTATAAAGGCAATATAAAAACTACGAGCATATTTTATGTTAATGCCAAATCCTTTGCCAACAAGAGTTTTGAGAGGTTTAAGACGCTCAACAAGTTTTTTGTGGAGGTTGCTGACGAGATTTGTATCATTAACCTCGACTCCAAGATATTTATAAGACTCGCAAGTCTCCATGGGCACTCCATTAATAGTATAATTAACATGAAGAGGATGGGGAATAAGAACCCCTGTTTTATCAACAGAGATTATGAGGCCACATTCTACTACTTTCTTGGAGAATGCATCAAGTAACACTTGTAACCTTGGTTTACTGTGTGCCATAATACAAATATCATCAGCATAACATATAACTGTTTCCGTAGGTTGTACAGGTATGTCATGGATAAGTTTGTGCATAAGTATATTGAAGAGCATAGGGCTTAGGACACCACCTTGAGGTATGCCTAGTTCGAATGCATCTGTTCTTGTACTTTTAACTCCTTTAAATAGGACACTAGCACGCCTGTTGGATAGGTAGCTCTTTATCCAACTCAGAACATTACCTATGATTCCAAATTCAACAAGTTGCTCTAATATTATTTCGCCATTCGCTACATCGAAAGCTGACTTTAGGTCAATAAAGGCTGCCTGTGTCCCATCCTGGGAGTTTACAAAATATTCAGCAAAGCATGTTTGTGTGCTACACTTGGGCATGAACCCATATAGGTTTGGGGCCAGTTTTTCTTTGACCAGAAACATGACACGATTGAGAACAATTCTCTCCAAGGCTTTACACATGCAAGATGTAAGGGAAATGGGTCTGAATTTTTGAGAGTTAGGTTTAGGAATTGGTATTATGAGACTTTGTGTCCATTTCTTTGGCAAGATACCTTGTGAGAGACTCATTTGATAGAGGTCAAGCAGAGGGTGGCTTGGGACATCATTCAATAAGCTCAAAGTGTTATAAGTTATACCATCCTCACCAGGGCCAGTTTGTTTAGGTTTTCCTAATGCTGATGTTAATTCAAAGGGGGTTATAGCAAACTGATCTGTTAAATCTGGTGAGGAGCGTGCTATTTCAATATTAAAGTTTCTGTTAATGTTGGTATGATTTAAATGCTGCTGTATATCTGAGGGATAAGGAAGAAATTTGTGAGACACTAGAACATTGAGCTAGGAGCATATCAGCATATTCTGCAGGAGTATGATGCAGCTGAACTGGGGTTGAAGGTTTGGTAATGTTTTTAATTTTGTTCCACATTTCTGATAATGTTGTGGTTCTATTGATACCTTGTAGGAATTGTTCCCAATATGTGTCCTTAACTTGACCCTTAAGCTCGCGAAAATCTCTGTTGGCATTAAGGAATGCAAGTAAATTGTCAGCTGTTTTGTCTCGTTTATAACAGTCAACAGTCAGCAAGCTGAAGCACTTTAGCTCTGCAATAATAATAGGATCCTCTGTCCATGAGGAAGAACAAGTGTTCTTTTTTTTCCTTGATTTAACCCAGGTATCATAATAACTTGTAATGATACTGACAAGATCATTGTAAAAGTGGTCCACTGATACATGTGTATACCCAGTGTACCACTTATGTACCGCTCCCTACAATTGAGGGGGCTAAGTAAATCGTAGAGTGGGGTATACCCACACATATAAATGTCTAGATTTCTCCTTGTAAGCATTACGGGCTCACTATAGCCCGTGCTACATGAACATTTCTTACTAAGTAGCTAAATCTAAAAAAACAAGAACAACCTTGAATGCTCAGTATAGCTGTGTGTACTCCTGAAGATCTCACATTTGCTGACGAAACGTTAAACAATAAAAATTGAAAGATTAAGTGATTTAGTGTTTCTTCACCCTCCAGATGGTAGAAGATATTTGCGTAGAATGAACAATATCCAAAAGAAAATGATCAATACTCACAATGCATTGTGACCTTGCATAGTAGGCCGAGAAGTGCGTTCTGGCTACTAGGTACGACATATATATATATATATATATATATATATATATATATATATATATATATATATATATATATATATATATATATATATATATATATATATATATGTCGTACCTAATAGCCAGAACTCACTTCTCAGCCTACTATTCAAGGCCCGATTTGCCTAATAAGCCAAGTTTTCATGAATTAATGTTTTTTCGTCTACCTAACCTACCTAACCTAACCTAACCTAGCTTTTTTTGGCTACCTAACCTAACCTTACCTATAAATATAGGTTAGGTTAGGTTAGGTAGGGTTGGTTAGGTTCGGTCATATATCTACGTTAATTTTAACTCCAATAACAAAAAATTGACCTCATACATAGAGAAAAGGGTTGCTTTATCATTTCATAAGAAAAAAATTATAGTAAATATATTAATTCAGGAAAACTTGGCTTATTAGGCAAATCGGGCCTTGAATAGTAGGCTGAGAAGTGAGTTCTGGCTACTAGGTACGACATATATATATATATATATATATATATATATATATATATATATATATATATATATATATATATATATATATATATATATATATATATATATATATATGAGCATAAAATCCTTTTTCAGTATGTTTGTTTTCCAATAAAGAATATTTGTTTATTGCTATACACCAAACAATTAATTTTACAATAAAACAGGCAACATAATTCTGTCACTTTTTATTGCATATAATTTTAGACGTAACGCTCGCCTCTAATCCTATTATGATAATCCATTGAAAATTATTCTGTTTTGAACCATCAAAGGCAAATTACTCGTTATGAAGGGTTAATAGCGGGTTTGGTTCACCCCTTTTATTCATATAGTCTACGTGTTTTAAATACACTCCTTCTGAAATGGGAGATCCAAATATGCTTAATTATTCTCTTTTATGCAAATATGCTTTGATTAAGGATACAAAATTGTACGTTGCCTCAGGCAGTGTTGGAAGGGGTACTGACACCATGACAGAATATTTTACACCTCTGCCAACAGTACCAACATCTTTACTATTGGTCTAGTTATATCAGCAACTAGCGAGAGGTTCACACACCACTTCCCGGTGTAAATGCACTTAAAAAAACAACTTTAGTCCTGCAATTTGTTGAGGAATTAAGTATACTTAGATGGTCATTAACTAGTGTAGTGGTTCAATGACTTCGTTTGGCCCTAAGCCAACACCAAACAAACATTGGACGTCTTCACCGAAAGCTGTGCTACACTTCTTGGTCT